AACAGAGAAGTGGGGGGGGGGAATATGGATGAGATAACAGTTGAACAAAAAAATATGGGTCAAGTCCACTACTTAACTTGCTTAACTCCAGAGGTACATTTATTTTCTACAGTCGTTTCGGTGTACAAAAGCCAACAGTGTACATTCCTTTTGCTTGCAACTTTAAATCTATTTCATTATATTGTGAGTCCACAAAACTACGTGGTGCTTTAAGAGTTTTAAAAATTATCCTTAATATGCCCGATAAAATGAGTTCATGGTGCAATAGACTTTCCGGATCAAATAAGTTCACGGCACAATGGATTTTACGGATCAAATGAGTTCAGGTACAATAGACAGCATGGATCAAATGAGTTCACGGTACAGTTGACATGCCGTGTCAAATAAGTTCACGGTACAATGGACAAGGCGGATAAAACGATTTCACTGTACAACGGACTTGGAGCCGTAATGTTTCTTATCTCTCAAACTCAAGGATCCCCAGTCAACAACAAGCATACGTATAAGTGAAAACAATCTTCCCCCTTCCACTCTGACCAACGGAGAGCCCCCATAGCACGCTTCTTGCTCCAGCCATGATGCCGTATAATAACGTATTTTTCTCTTATCATTTTTTGTGATAACATCCTATAATTAAGTTATGAATTAATTTATATTAAACAAGTTTCACACACTACTAAGTCAATTAAAGTAAAACACTGTACCTTAATCAAGAAAATATATTACTTTTTTAAATGGATTCGCCTTTGTTAAAATACAATTTGGTGCACATTCCTCAAAGTATATTCTTGATACTCGGCTTATGTTATGTAAATGAGTATCATACTTCCGTCCTAAATTTGGGGTAATTTACTTTATAGCATAAGGTGATAAGAGTGAGACAAAAATGCTAAGATTGAGAGAAGATGCTAAGAGTATTATCAGATGGTAAGATTGAGATACTATTTAAAGATTCAGATAAGATTGTATGAGTGAGATAAGATGTTAAGAGTACGATAAGTTGTTAAGAGTGAGGTAAGATATTATACAGTGACTCATTTTCAGAAAATATTTTTGAAAATCACTTCTATTCATTAAAAAAATCTTTGCTTAAATTTTACCAAGGGAAAAGATTCAATGTTAACAGCGCCACGTAATTTTTTTCAAAATTATTGGCCTTGAATTCAAGAATTTTCATCACATCCACATTGTGTCACAAAATTAAATGAGAACTATTAAGTCGCTTTATGGCTACGGGAGATCATTGAATTGCTGTTTTTTTTTTTTTTTTTTTTTTTTTTTTTTTTTCCCAAATAAAATTATTTTATTGTTTTTTTTT